AATAACAGGACCCAAGGTCCTGTTATTTGATAATAACTGGGATTGCTGCACACTCAGATAAAGTAAATATTGCGAAACGAATGTTCACATTGTGCAGTATTCGTTCGCGTGTGAGCAATGACAGAAGGATATTCCTTACAGAACTACAGAAACATTTCAGTAAATGTTTTTGCAACTTATCTTTATTGACTCTTCGTTATTTTTATCACGGATGTTGTTTTTGGAGTTTCACCTCTTCCCATGATCTCTCATTTTGGCTTCCGGAAAACTGGAAGAAGGCCAGTTTTCTGGTCCTCTCCCCTATCACATGGCATCTTCGCGCCAGAGAAGCCTTAAGGCATGGCTCCCTGAAGACCCTGCTCAACCCCCAAAGACACCCCTCGCTCCATTCCACAGTCCACCCCAGGCCCCCCTCTTCCCCTGGCATGAGCCCCACCCACTCAGTGCCAGGTCCCCCCACCCTCCACCCCACTGCCATGGCTCTGACAGAACTGTAGCCCTCGGGGTGGCCTGCTACTGAAGCCACTGTAGAAACGGGCCCGGGAGCTGCTGTAGCCGGATCCTCTCCCTCGGTACCGGGTCCGGGGGAATCCCCGGTCTGTGGTGCTGATGCCGGGGCGGTTGGTCCGTTTGGGTATCACCTGCAAAAAGAAACCCCAGATGTTGGGAGATGTCTTACGCATGTAAAGCTTTGAGAACAGCGGTACCAGAAGCCCTGTAATTTAGGTGGGGCTGGCCGTAAGGACAATTAAGAAGTCACAGAACAGCCCTGTCCTGGATAGCCCAGGCAAGCCCGATCTCGGAAGATAAGCAGGGTCAACTCCGGCAAATATCTGGATGGGAGACCTCCTTGGAATACCAGAGCCAGCAGGCAGGGGCAGGCTTTATTCAGCCAAATCTCTGCATATCCTCCATGCCCCTAGTAGGGGTCAGTCACCAGAGTCACTATGACTTCCAGGCACACACGCGCACACACAAAAGTACAAAAATACCAAGAAGAGGCAGAAGAAGAAGCAGAAGAAGAAGCAGAAATCACAGAACAAAGTTCAAGTCTGGGGAGGGGGGGGGGGTTCCTTTACGACCAACAAAGTTTTATTCAAGGTATAAGCTTTCGTATGTGTGCACACAAAATTTTATACCTTGAATAAAACTTTAAGGAACTGCAGCTGGTGCAAATGCAGCAGCCAGTTCTTTATGAGAATTGGCTAGGCCAGTCACACGTTAGCTGCCAAACGGTTCATCTGGGTTCAATTCCATTCAAGGTGCATGTTTCTGCCATTAAAATTAAAGCCGTTTATGGCCTGGTGTCAGACTCCTGCAGCAATCAGTTCCCAACAGCTTTCATCCAAAGAAGTAAAGCTTATTGAGACATTTGATAGTATGCAGGTATCTTAACCATCTCGTGTTAGAACTGAGCTAAAGTGTGCGAAGCAAACAGATATACGTTGGTCAAAGAGACCCCCCTAATGGCCCAGGGCCAATCAGGGGCCAGGTAAGAGCCCGCCAAACTAACGGGCTACTTTCCCCAGGAGAAATACTGCACCAGGCATTGAAGGTCATTCAGAGATAACAGAAACAGAGAAGACGCAGCAGAAATGAAAGTTAACATTGCAGACTCACCCACACTCCCATGGCAGCCAGGGCTCGCAAGAGGCCTAGCTGACACTTGGGATCCCAACCCTCTCCCTATCGCTCCCAGGGTTACGGGGCCTGCTTTATTCCTCCTTTGAGCAAGATCAGCTACAACCCAGCGGAAAACCTTCTCCACAGCAATCCCACTGTTATTTTGGCCCTCATGTATTCTTATTGATGTTGGGAGTTCAACATTGACACGGGAAACTGTTTTTATTCAACCACTTTGAGCAGTCAGGAAAAGCAGCATTGTAAACATTTGAAATACTGCGCAGTAAACAGAACACCGTTGCCCCAGCGTGCCACCATCCGCCATACACAGCTTGAACACACATGAAGTTGCCTTATACTGAATCAGACCCTTGGCCCATCAAGGTCAATATTGTCTACTCTGACCGGCAGCAGCTCTCCCGGGGTCTCAGGACGAGGTCTTTCACATCACCTCCTGCCCCATCCGTTCTCGGAGATGCTGGGGATTGAACCCGAGACCTCGTGCATGCCAGGGAGATGGCCCACCACCTGAGCCACAGCCCCTTCCCCATGTTTTTCTTCCCATACTGTCTCCGTGTTTTGTTTGGGAGCATCAAGGCTTTACGGAGTACCTTCAACCACAGATGCGGCTCCCTTGCTTGAGAGCTTGCATCTAAATTCTGAACACGGGGACAGAGAACAGTCAACGAGAATGGCAGACAACTTGCCCTGACCTGGACAGCCCAGTCAAGCTTGATCTCATCAGACCTCAGAAGCTAAGCAGAGCTGACCCTGGCAAGTATTTGGATGGGAGACCTCCAAAGAACACCAGAGCTGGGAGGCAGAGGCAGGCTATCAAGCCGCTTCTCTGAACGTCCTCCATGCCCCAGTAGGCGTCACCAGAGGTTGCCATGGCTTCCAGGCACAGGCATACACACGCACATACGCACAACATGCAAAAATACTGGGGGGAAAAGAACAGCAGACAACTTAATCCTTGGCTAACCAGACATTATGCAAGAGACCACGGTACTAACTCTTCACCCACAAAACCCCTCTCAGAGTCAGGATGAGGGGGTAGGAGTTGGGCCAGCCTACGTACCTTTATCTGTCTTCCCCGGAAGAGAGACTCATCTAGCGCTAAGGACGTCCGCACTGACTCCTTGTCCGAAAACTCAATGTAAGCAAACCTGCACGGGACACAACAGGATAATGATTAGGCAGTGGTTATCAGCATGGGAAAAATGCACAGCTAACCTCTCCTCCCTGGAGACCTAAACCTGGCAGAAAAAAAACCAAAAACACTGTGGGAAGTTGGTGTCATCTCCATGACTTTTCAATTTCCCCAGCAGACATTTGGGAGAGCCCTAAAAAAAATCGTATAAAATATTCTCTTGGCATGAGTGAAAATGCCTCGGAAACACCTTTGGGATGAACTTACTTATTCCCGATCGTATTTTTTGGTGGGCAAAATGCAGACAGAACTGCCTGCAGACCTTTTTTCTCTTAGGACATGGCCACCTGTAAATTACTAAACAATGTCCCCAAAGTACACTCAGAGTTTACTGTCTGTAAACAAAAAAGCCCCCTTGGGAAAGAAACAACTCCAGAAACGTATGCATTTTGCCACTGGGGTAAAAAAACAAAAACACCACAAGTTTATTAAGCAAGCCAGGAAACCATTTAAGTGCTCTGGAAAGATAGCCATACCCCCCCTTCCAGAGAACTTGGAAAATATTTCTTACATCAGAGATATATATGCACATGGGGCAGAATTATACCCCAAGATACAAAAAAGTTGGAAATTAATTTTTTGTTTTCCTTTAAAAACCATGAATGCTTATGGTACTTGTCCAGGGTCTCAGGTCCATTCTTCATTTGAAACAAGAACTATAGGTTTGTAAGAATCCACATGGCTAAACATAATTCAATATGCTGAAGGGGAACATTGGATTTATCCAAATGAAACACTCTGCCTCATGTCAACGTGTGTCGTCAAGTTCTGGATGTTCTTGTACAAATATCTGGTGTGATATCCACCAAATACTTTTTTGTAGGGATGGTCCTGCCACAAGAGACACTGGAAATATACCCTATGTGCAGTATCTGCAAGTCTTTGTTTTATTTTTTTACACAAGGTAAAACACGCTTATATTCACTTAAAATATGTCGCATGACAACTTCCTATGCTGGACAATCGACAACGTTTGATAATTCCACTGCAGACAAATGCAGTGTATTTTCAGGATGGCATTAGCATAGTAATATACTCTAATGTAACTGTTATTCCAATAACCTGGTAGCTCTCCTGCTACAGTTTCACAGTGTTGATGACTCCCAAGTCTGTTTTCTAATTTCCACTCCCCCCAGCTAAGGCAGCAGAGCGTGCAGCATTTTACATTGCAAAATGCAAGTCTCAGTTACACTTGCATTTTGTATTGCAGAAAACTGTGACACTTATACTTTTAAATTCCATAAATATGCCAAATACTTTATTTAGCTGAAAAGACTAGGTTTTTCCCCGCACATGTGCCATCAAAGAAAGAGTGGACTGTCTTAAATACGCATACATTAGTTACATGCAGTTAAAAAAAAATAGCCCTTTTGCAAGCAGCTTTTTTAAGGATTCATCTTACATTCAAGATCATCCTTCCAGATAGTTACAGCAATACAATTTTATATGCCAAGTTAGAATTAATGGATTTTTAATTAAAACCATAATATAAATTTGGGTTTGATAGGAACACCAATGTTATAGGTATATTTGGGAGCATGCAACCCTCCCAAAATTTCCACTCCTTCCCCTCCAAGGGAAAAACACCCCCCCCCCAGGAGGGGGCTTCAGAAGTTTTGGAAATGTTGCTTCTATTCTCCTTCCTCTATTAATTCACTCACCCTTTGGGGTGACCAGTGTACTTGTCACAGAGGATGGTCACGCGATTGACAGAGCCGCAACCGTGGAAGTGGGCTTCCAGCTCTTCCGCCGTTGCTCCGTAATCCACCTAGAACAATAGGAAGATGAGGTGCGAAAAGAGAAAAGACTAGCCTCTTTTGCTGTCCCAAATGCAGGGGGGGGGGGGGACTTACCTTGCCTACGTATACGGACCTGGCATCTGGTTCCTGCTTCCATCTTTTCTTCTATAGACATTATGACTGGGCCAGCTGCGGAGGAAAGCAAAAGCATCAGCTGCGATTAATAAACCCAAGGAAAGAATCCTTCCTGATGTCCAGGAAGAAGCATTCATCTGAGAATCCCACCCAGAAGAGATCAGTGAGGATTTTTCTGCTTCGTTACGACTCCTTCCATGTTTCAAGACTGGGTCACACTTCCAACCACCCCCAACAGCATCCTAGCCCAATGTACCATTCCATGCCCATGTCTTCTCTCCAAGGAAAGTAGCCATGTTTCTCTGCACATACCCTCCCCACTGACTGTGAACTTAGGCAGATCATGAGAAGGATGGCAGGAGGGGTTGCATTGGTGCTTAGTTCTCGTGGCCCTTTCTTACACGGCCAGGGAAATGCTAACTGCCACTCTAGTGTCAGAAAACAATTTTTCTCCAGGCCAGTTTGGCTGGAGATCCTGGAGGTTTTTTTGTCATCTTCTGGGTGTGGAACAGGGGTCACTGGGGGTGTGGGGTGGAAGTATTTGTGAATTTCCTGCATGGTGCAAGGGCTTGGACTAGATGACCCAGGAGGTCCCTTCCAACTCTATGATTCTATGACTTTGTGCGTGCTTATCAACTAATGTGAACTCCAGCCTTCAAGGGCAGTATTTCAAAGTTGTTTTAAAAGGTTGCATCACTTCAGAGAAAAACTACAAACACCCTACAGCTCAGATAACTCAAGAGCTGTCAAACATTCGGTGTAAAGGCCAGCTTGTATATTTCCTTCCTACCTTCTCAAACCCTCACCTACAATGACCCCTCCTTAAGCACACTTTTTTTAAAAAGGGCAAAAGGATGTCCCAGTAGGGTTCAAAGGCCAGAAACCTCAACATGCTGAAAGACACACACCCCCATTAAACAGAACTGCAGCTTGCACTAAGGGTCTTGCCACTTACACAAGTGTGAAAATACTGATCTAGAAGAGAGGTTAAAAAAATAAAAGGATGCTCACCATTGCCTGGGGGAGGGCTCATGTTCATTTGCTTCTCAACTTCATTCTGCAATTCTTTCAGCTTCTCCGCTTCCTCCTCCATCTCTCGCACACGGGCTTTAATGGCTTCCAGCTCCTGGGGTGGGGGAAGAAGAGCGTAGATTAGAAAAACACGTTGTTGTTTCTAAGGTGCTTTCAATTCCATTCTGTTCATTCTCACCATAACTCAGTTCCCAGACAATGTCTGCTTTTCTACATACAAAGTGCTACAAGTTTTATCTACCTCCACATTCATTTATACACCCCTTTACTCAATTATTATTATTAATTAAATTGGATTTCTTAATCACCTAATCCCCGTAGAATAACAAAGCTCTAGGCAATGCACATCATTTTAAAAACAATTAGAAAGTTTTTAAAAACAATTAAAAAATCAAAACATATAATAATTTATAGACCCTTTACTCAAGAGTTACAATCACCACTACCAGATAATTGCCTGCCGATCACTTCTGGCCTACTTTCAGCCACAACTCCTGACCGCACTCAAGTCTTACTACAGGGTCCCTTAGATGCTCACCTGGCTGGCTCCCTCCAGGCATCCCACCGCCCGCCATTTCTCTTTGCACCTCTTAAGCCTCTCCCAAAATGATACTGTTACCACCCATTGTTCCCTCTAAGCTGAGTGAGTGTGAGCTAGTTCACAGTTTTTTAGCCTCTGGCTCACGCATTTTTGTCTTAGCTTGGGAGGGAGGGCTCCAGAGCAAGCTAATGTATGCACCAGCCAAACAGCTTGGAGGGAGCGTAGGTTATCCCCTTGAGTGGGCTCAGCCCACAAGAGCGCCTGTGCTTCCTATGCGGTCCAGATCTAACCTCCCTGCCCTGGAGATTTAAGACTGGACGGGGGGGGGGGGAGGCACCAGGGCCCGGACAGG